GACATCACGTCCATTTCGCACTCTATCGCCACTTTTTGTACATCAGCTTTTGGCCTTAGGTAAAATATACGTCCAAATACGACGTGTTATTAGGAGAGCGGGTTGCCGGCAGTGTATTAGAACACCAGTGATCTGAGCAGTTGGTCACGACCTAAATCTTCCTAAAAAAACCTACACAAGGAACAGAAAAATTAACTTCTGAAGCATATTAAGTCTGAAACATGTGCCTTTGAGGAAAGCCAGAAAGAGGTCCAACGTAGAAAGAGAACGCAGACAACACTACAAACGAAGAAAAAAATAACGGAAATGCTTAAGCAGACACGACTTTCCATACAAAGAAGGAATAATTTAAACAGGGAAACTGAAGAAATCGAACAGAGACTGAAGCATTCATATCAGATTGAAGAAAGGCAACTAGAACAGAAAGCAATTCAAGAAATAAAGAAAAACCCAAAATATTTTTTCACATATGCGAAATCAAAAGCAAAAACCACTGCATGTACTTGACCTATTCGTACGAGTAAAGGTTCATACACGGAGGATGACAAAGAAATCAGTGAAATCCTAAATGTACCTTGTTTAGCACTCCAAAAAAAAAACAACATGAAAATGGAAGATCCGGACAACTTCTTTATGTGTGACATCCAAAACCCCTGTAAATATAACTGATATCAACACGAGCGTAGCAGATTTTGACAGAGAAATTGACAATATGCCCATGCACTCAGCCTCGGGGCCAGACTCATGGAATTAAATTTTTATAAAGAAATGCAAGGTGCCAGTAGCACAGGTACCCAGTACAGTGTGAAGTAAGAGCTTGGACACGGGGGAGATACCAGATGCGCTTAAATTAGCAGACATAGCCCCTCTACACAAAGGAGGGAGCAAAGCATTGACAAAGAATTATAGACCAGTTGCACTAACGTCTCACATAATACAAGCATTTGAGAGAGTGATCAGGAATCAGGTCAATATTTTCATGGGAAACCAATGACCTTCACAACCTAGGCCAACATGGATTTAGAGCAGGAAGATCATGCCTCTCACAGCTACTTGACCATTACGACAAAATCACCGAGGCATTAGAAGAAAAACAGAATGCAGATGTGGTATACACAGACTTTGCAAAAGCATTCGATAAATATGACCATGGGAGTGATAGCACACAAAATGAGGTCAATGGTAATAACTGGTAAAGTAGGACGCTGGATACTCAGTTTTCTGTCGAACAGAACACAAAGAGTAACAGTCGATCATATAAAACCGAGTCCAAGTGCAGTTAAAAGCTCTGTACCTTGCGCCACTGCTTTTCCTTATTCTCTTATCTGATATAGACTCAAATACAAATCACAGTTTCGTATCATCCTTTGCAGATGACACAAAAATCAGCATGAAAATTACCTCTGTTGAAGACATTGAAAAACTACAAGCAGATATTAATTAAGTTTTTGACTGGGCAGCAGACAATTACATGATGTTTAACAATGATAAATTCCAGGTACTTAGGTACGATAAAAATGAGGACCTTAAACATAGTACAGGGTACAACACATAATCAAATCTACCCATAGTAGGAAAACTGAATGTAAAGGATTTGAGAATAATGATGTCTGACGACCTATTGTTTAAGGAACACAACCAAGCAAATATTGCTTGGTTATGTTCAGAGCAGGAGAGATTGCTGAAATAGAGGGAATACAGAGAACATATACGGCACGCATAGACGAGATAAAACACCTAAATTATTGAGATCGTCTCAAAGCTCTCTTAATGTACTCTCTAGAAAGGAGACGAGAGAGATATCAAATAATATATACGTGGAAAATACTGGAGGACCAGGTTCCAAATCTGCACAGTAAAATAACAAAATAGTAAAATAAAAGCAGTTTTGGAGGGTGTTGGGAAGTTGTACTCATCTAATTATGCATGCGGAATTGAGCTCTGGCTCTTTGGTCCCGCCTCTCAACAGTCAATCAACAGGTGTACAGGTTCCTGAGCCTACTGGGCTCTGTCATATCTACATTTGAAACTGTATGGAGTCAGCCTCCACCACATCACTGCCTAATGCATTCCATTTATTAACTACTCTGACACTGAACAAGTTCTCTGTAATGTTTTAGTGGCTCATTTGGGTACTCAGTTTCCACTTGTGTTCCCTTGTGCGAGTACTACCTATGTTAAATAACCTGTCTTCTCTACCCTGTCTATTCCCCAGAGAATTTTGTATGTGGTGATCATGTCTATCCAAACTCTTCTGTCTTCAAGCGACGAGAGGTGCAATCCGCGCAGGCTTTCCTCGTAACTCGTACCTTTACGTCTGAAACTTAGTTCATGTGGCATACCACTTAACCTCTCCAGCTTCATCTTATGTTTGACAAGGTTTAGACTGAATGCTGGAGCTGCATTCTCCAGGATTCGTTTGATATATGTGGTACATAGGGGTTCTAAATGATTCCTTATAAAACTTTCTAAATGTAGTTTATTGTGCATCCCAAATTCATCCTGTGAGTGGTAGTCTATTGTATACCCCATACTCATCCTTTGAGTGGTAGTCTATTTTATACCCCATACTCATTCTGTGAGTGATAGTCTATTGTGCACCCCATACTCATCCTGTGTGAGATTTTTGGTCAGTCAGAAGGACAACTCAAAAGTCAACACGTTAAGTGTCAGATTAAAAACGTTATGTATATTATTAACTTATTAAGTTAAGTGTCAGACTTAAAACCCAACAGTACCGTACAACAGTACAACACACTGAGGAAATCATATACTAACCCTTCTAGATAACTTCTCGTGACAATAGGGTGGCGGATGGTTACGTTGACTCGAGGTACACGCTGATACAGTCTGTTTGACTCTGCGGGTGATCTCGCGGCACAATCTCTTTATATCTCAAAAATTTAAACTTCCACAATAACGCAAATTGGAATCTAACAGCAATTTACGGTAGAGGTACTCCAAGTGTTTTAGCGAGGAGATGTTTAACGTCGCGTTAACGGAGATCTATGCTATTGGCCGATAGCACAGTCTTTCACGTTCAGCAAGGACAGGCAACAACTTCATAATGAGGGGTCCAGTCTGGGCCTCCGGCTTCCAGGCGGCTTCCCTCTGTGTTTCACTGTTCTCTTCAATCGACCAATGGCATGGTAGGTCCATGGTGCCTCCACGAATCACAGGCTTGGCTCGGATGGCGTGGTACACGCACGACGTCACAGCCAGGCCTATTTGTTTACACAAGTGGCGAGGGCCATTAGTCTTCTATGGCCCCAAACCTTTCCACTACCACGAAACTCTATTTCTGAATATTTGCATCTTTATAATTTCTTCTGTAATATACATTACATAGGCGCTCTCTATCTTACTAAAAATGCCACGACGGCCATGATTTTATCTGACAGCTGATAACATATGCTGCCCATATATATATATACCCTACAAGGTACACCCAAGGTATACCTCGTAGGGTATATAATAACGAGCATAGCTTTTTTTGCAGGGATATTCCTGCACGGGCCCTAAGCCTCTGGCTGGCTCACTAAGTGTTGCTTGTTTCTGTTTTACTTGGGCGGAGTATGAGTAATTATGACTCGTGTGGTCGCTTCAGCAAGATTTTGCCATATGTGTTTAACAACTTCTTCTGCTCTATTGAATCTAAGTTGAACTCTTAATGGGTTTGTAACTGTGCACTGTGTTAAATAATGTTCCAGTGGTCTGTTGGGCAGGTGCACTCGATCTGTGCTACCTTACCTTGAGGCTACCTTGAGGTGCTTCCGGGGCTTAGTGTCCCCGCGGCCCGGTCGTCGACCAGGCCTCCTGGTTGCTGGACTGATCAACCAGGCTGTTAGACGTGCACTCAAAGAAAAGTTACAAAATGACGGTGTGCACTCTCCACCACACATTTTAAGCTAGCTGGTGTTGTGACCACTCACATCATGTGAACGATATTCTATTGTGCACCCCATACTCATTTTGTGAGTGATAGTGTATTGTGCACCCCATACTCATTTTGTGAGTGATAGTGTATTGTGCACCCCATACTTATTTTGTGAGTGATAGTGTATTGTGCACCCCATACTCATTCTGTGAGTGATAGTGTATTGTGCACCCCATACTCATTCTGTGAGTGATAGTGTATTGTGCACCCCATACTCATTCTGTGAGTGATAGTGTATTGTGCACCCCATACTCATTCTGTGAGTGATAGTGTATTGTGCACCCCATACTCATCTTGTGAGCGATATTCTATTGAACATAAGAACATAAGAGTGAAGGTAACTGCAGAAGGCCTATTGGCCCATACGAGGCAGCTCCTATTTATATCCACTAAAACTCATTCATATATATGGCTAGGCTATGCAAACAATCTAACAATGTTTAAAAATCAAGGGATCTTACTTATGTTATGTTATGCGGTAATTGCTTCCACAAATCAATAACCCTGTTTCTGAACCGGTATTTACCCAGGTCTTTCCTAAATCGAAACTTACTCAATTTATACACATTTTCGTGTTCTACTTTGTGTTCATACTTTTAATACCCCTTTTCATATCCCCTTTGTTATGTCCATTCATTCACTTGTACACCTCTATCATGTCACCACTAATTCTTCGCCTTTCTAGATAATGTGATTTTGTGATTTACGGGATTAACTTTGTGATTTGTGGGATTAACTTTGTGATTTGTGTGAATTACTTTGTGATTTGTGGGATTAACTTTGTGATTTGTGGGATTAACTTTGTGATTTGTGGGATTAACTTTGTGATTTGTGGGATTAACTTTGTGATTTGTGGGATTAACTTTGTGATTTCTGTGATTAACTCTGTGTTTTCTGTGATTAACTTTGTGATTTGTGAGATTAACTTTGTGATTTGTGTGATTAACTTTGTGATTTGTGGGATTAACTTTGTGATTTGTGGGATTAACTTTGTGACTTGTGGGATTAACTTTGTGATTTGTGGGATTAACTCTGTGCACCCTATTTTCCTGGCACAGGTGGCGGTGATGGTGGGGGCGGAGAGCACCCTGAGCCAGTTGGGCAGTGTCTACCTCATCACTCCTCAGCGCTACCAGCTCAACCCTCGCGCCGTCTACAGGTACACACACGCGCCATTCCATGTAGATAATAAAAAGTTCCCCACTTATGACAGGACAGTTACAGTTGACAGAACTACACGGAGCCCGCACCAACACTGTGACCCTGCAAACACACAACGTAACTGTCCCTATTTTCAGCTTGTTACAACTTGTAATAAAGCTGTTACGTCTTGTTGTTGTTGTTAAAGACTCGCTACCTGGAACAAAAAGTTCCAAGTAGCACGGGCTATGGTGAGCCCGTAGTTGTTACGTCTTGTTTTAACGTTTTAATGACGTATTAGAACGTTGTTACATCTTGCTATATTGGTTGTTACAACTTGTTAGGTGTTAAAACTGTTCAAACGTTGTAGCAACGTCGTAGTTTCGGCGTGTGCTTGGCGGGATATATCTTTTGGGGAACATACATAATTTAACCTCTTAAAATGCTCTTATATAGATAATTACAAGTTATATTAATGAACGGGAAATTCATCGTACACCTTAAAATAAGCTATTACTAATTTCAAAGCAAATAATCTGAATAAAGTGGGATAAATCACTGAACTTTTGGATAATTGAGCGTGATCCCAACTAAAGCCTTTATCATAAGGTTCTCCAGCATATTATTGCACATATCTTACATATGTCAGCGAGTTCTGTTTAGTCTCCGCTTCGAAATTTCCGATATGCTTCGTACAGTTCGTTTTAGTGGGATTAAATAAAAAGTGGTAGTGTATTAATTAATTACAACATACAATATTGTAATTATTGATAATAGATAGTACATGATGTATGCTATTTTTTCTGTTTCCTAGCCCCCCTCTGGTTATGAAGTTATGGTGAGTTCAAGAATAGTCAACAACTAATTGTATGACTAGTGGCAGGTATATTTTCTATGGCAGTGTGACATATGACGGGTTTTGTCAGAATGCATTCTTTGTCAAACTGTATTGCATGTTGAAGGAGCTGAAATTTTTTTATAACTCTTCATTGTTTCATATGGATATCGACAATACTTTCCTTAATTTTGCCCGTTTTTAATAAAATTTCACTTTACCCGTCAGATGGCCCCAAACAGGGAAAGACAATACCGGGCAGAGCTCCTCAATTATGGGTTCAAAGAAACATAAAGACAAAAGCTCATATGAGGCCACAATATATCGTCTCTTTAAAAGCGCTGACTGCAGAGATCAGGCTTCAGGCTGAGAGCACAAGGTACATAGGGAGCCAGCAACCCGTTGAGTCGCTTAGCCAGTCTGTATGTGGGTGTGGGTATCTGGCTGATGATTGACCGAAGTGGGTTTCCAGGCTTGTGGGTCTTGACATTTCCATAGGCATACCCAGGTTTGTATTTCCCAACAACTTTTGGCAGGTGGAGTCCGATAAATATTATATATATATATATATATATATATATATATATATATATATATATATATATATATATATATATATATATATATATATATATATATATATATATATATTATTAAATATGACCGAAAAAGTAAGATTAATAATTCTAACACGAATTTTCTCAATATTTCTTATTTTTCTTTGCACTGTTGATGGTAACTGAAAACTCAATTCCACAAAGTTCATTTTTATTTCTAGTCTGACGCGACACTTGAACGCGTTTCGTGATAACTTATTACATTTTCAAAGACTTTAGTTTACACACACACAACTATAACTAAACAGAGTTTAAACAGCTTCGATTTTATACCTGCATTTGGGTGAGGTGATATGCTACAACAGTTTTTGGATGAGGTGAAAACAAACTTTCAACACAAGACAGAACACGAAACAATGGGTATAATATTTTGTAAGTTAAAGGGAAGAATGGAAGTAACTGCAAAGGGCCTATTGGCCTATATTTCTTGATGCTTCTATATTGGTGCGGAGTCTTGAAGTGGGTAGAATATAGTTGTGCATTAATTGGCTGTTGATTGCTGGTGTCGACTTCTTAATGTGTAGTGCCTAACAGATATCAAGCCGCCTGCTATCGTTCTATCTATCGATGGTTTCCGTGTTTTTTGTTAAGACTTCTCTGGTGATGGTCTGGTTGTGGGAAGAGATTATATGTTCCTTAATGGAGCCCTGTTGCTTATGCATCGTTAATCGCCTGGAAAGAGATGTTGTTGTCTTGCCTATATACTGAATTGTTTGAGGCTTACAGTCCCCAAGAGGGCATTTGAAGGCATAGACGACATTGGTCTCTTTTAAAGCGTTCTGCTTTGTGTCTGGTGAGTTTCTCATGAGTAGGTTGGCCGTTTTATTGGTTTTATAGTAGATCGTCAATTGTATCTTCTGATTTTTGTCTGTGGGGATAACGTTTCTATTAACAATATCTTTTAGGACCCTTTCCTCCGTTTTATGAGCTGTGGAAAAGAAGTTCCTGCAAAATAGTCTAATAGGGGGTACAGGTGTTGTGTTAGTTGTCTCTTCAGAGGTTGCATGGCGTTTCACCTTTCTTTTTATGATGTCTTCAACGAAACCTTTAGAGAAGCAGTTGTTGGCTAGGACTTGCCTTACCCTACAGAGTTCTTCATCGACTTGCTTCCATCCTGAGCTGTGGCTGAGAGCACGGTCGACATAAGCGTTAACGACACTCCTCTTGTACCTGTCTGGGCAGTCACTATTGGCCTTTAAGCACATTCCTATGTTTGTTTCCTTGGTTTAGATGGCAGTGTGGAAGCCTCCGCTCCTTTTAGTGACTGTTACATCCAGAAACGGCAGCTTCCCATTGGTCTCTATTTCGTACGTGAAACTCAACACAGAATTTCGCTCAAATGCCTCCTTCAGCTCCTGCAGACATCTGACATCAGGTACCTGTATAAAAATATCGTCAACTTACCTGCAGTATATGGCGGATCTCAAGTCCATGTCAACTAAGACTCTCTGCTCCATGGTAGCCATGTAGAAGTTCGCAAACAGGACACCTAGGGGAGAACCCATGGCTACCCCATCTACTTATACATGTGCCCATCCGGGCTCAAGAAGGGTGCCTCTTTAGTACAAGCTTGGAGTAGTTTCCTTAAAATGTTTTCTGGTATGTCAAGAGGAGTACAGGCCGGATCACGGTACACTCTGTCTGCTATCATCCCGATTGTTTCATCCACAGGTACGTTGGTAAACAGTGATTCTATGTCCAACGAGGCTCTTATCTCTGTGGCCCGTGTTCCCCGCAGTAAGTCAACAAATTCCTTTGGAGACTTCAGGCTGAAGGTGCAAGGGACATAAGGAGTCAGCAAGCCGTTGAGTCGCTTCGCCAGTCTGTACATGGATGTGGGTATCTGGCTCATGATTGGCCGAAGTGGGTTTCCAGGCTAATGTGTCTTGACATTTCCATACGTGTATCCAGGCTTATATTCCCCAATAATCTTTGGCAGGTGGAGTCCGGATTTCTTGGCGTTCACAGTTTCAATCAATTTCTTGACCTTTGCTTTCAATTCAGCTGTAGTGTCCTTCGTTACCCTTTGGAATTTAGTTTGGTCAGAGAGAATGAGGTTCATTTTCGCCAGATATTCGCCTTTTTTAAGAATGACGTATATTGGCGACTTGTCACCTCTCCTGACGACTATCTCCTTGTTCTCACGAAGGCTCTTAGCTGCCGCTTTGAGCTTGGGGGACAGTATGGTGCTTCTGTAATTGCCTCGATTCTTTCCTCCTTCCGCAATAAGTTCTGCTTGTAAGGTGTCTTTGGTGGTGACCTTCTTTTGTGTTTCGAGGTCGAATACGTCGTCTCGTCTGCCTCGTCGCAAAGGCAGCTGCAAGAACAGTTAGTGATGCAGCGGCCAACATGCTGAAGCCAAAACAACTCGGGTTTGGCATTCCACAAGGGTGTGAGGCGGCAGCCCATGCAGCTCGAGCCTTCATCGCCAACATCACAGACGAAAAGGCCCTTATCAAGCTAGATTTAAAAAATGCCTTCAATTTGGTGCGGAGGGATGCTGTACTCCGTGCGGTTCATAGTCATTTCCCTTCCCTCCTTCCGCAATATTGTACATTCCACCTTCCACCTTTTGTACATTCATGCTACAGTATGGATCTTAAGCTACTTTTTGGCGAACATGAAATTGACTCGCGAGAAGGCGTCCAACAGGGTGACCCCCTTGCTCCTCTCCTTTTCTGCTTAGTCATCAAACAAGTCACAGAGGTCCTGTCCAGCGAGCTTAACATCTGGTTCTTGGATGATGGTACCCTAGCTGGTTCCCAAGACTCAATCCTAGAGGACATCAGAAAAATCCAGGAGCAAGGTGCAGTTTTAGGCCTCACCCTGAACCCTTCTAAATGTGAAATAATATGTTCCAACCAGGGCATCGTAGAGAGAATAGAGGGTCTTCTGCCAAATATCCATAAAACTAAACCTGAAGACAGCACACTCCTAGGAGCTCCCCTGGGGTTGAAAGCCATCGATGAGGTCCTTGATAAGAAAATCGCCGACCTTAAGAGGATGGATGGGAGGATTGAGGATATTGATGCTCATGATGCACTCTACCTCATCACCAGATGTCTGTCCCTCCCCAGGTTAACCTACTTTCTGAGGTGTTCACCATCTTACAGTAGCCAAAAACTAAGTGAGTATGACCGGTTACTGAAATCAATGCTAGAAAAAGCCCTTAACCTCTCTCTCGATGACCTACAGTGGAAACAAGCCTCTCTTCCCGTAAGACTTGGGGGCCTCGGAGTTCGAACAGCAACGCAAATCGCTGTTCCAGCCTTCCTGTCCTCCTTATCAGCATCCGACGACCTTGTGAAGGAAATTTTACCAGCCCACTTACATCAGCTGGCAGGTGTACATGATCCCAATTTTACACGCTGTGCCACAGAGTGGGCCTCTCGTGCAGGCCAATCACCTCAACCACCATCCCCAAAAGCCCACAAGCAATCCAGCTGGGATGGCCCCATTGTAGACCAAGTTGCTGCAGAGTGCCTGGGTGCTGCAACAACACAACACGACATTGCTCGCCTCACAGCAGTAGCAGCACCACATGCAGGGGATTTCCTGTTAGCAGCC